ATTTACATTTTTAATGCTTATTTGCGGTTGATTGCAAAGATTTTCTTGCATTACTTAAATAATATATTATTCAAATTATTGATCATACGCAAACTCCTGATGGAGTATCAGCCGAACCAAAACCTAAAATCTATTTTTAAACACCAAATGTAAACAATTTTTCATACACGAGCTTAATGATAAAATGAAAATATAAAATATTCATCATTTGAATTTATACCTATTGGCTATTTTATTTTAAGTAATAAGTAATGTAATAATAACAAATTATTTTTGAACAGCGGCCCACCGGGAAAGTTCCCGGTTTCCCGCCAGCCCAGTCCGCCCCTGCACATAGGCATAGGTTTTTAGTACTTTTTACGCATTGCATGATCATGTTCGGGATAAATATATAATGCTATTTGTTTTATTTGGAAATATTACTGTAATCCAGCTAAATTGACAGTGGTTATTATTTTATCGTAGTTAAGGCACCTTTTCCGTTTTCCACTAGAAACAGATATAAGCTTCTCTCGCGGAGGCGCACGTACGCAAGTGTCGCGCAGCCAGCTTAGACCGTACGGTTCGATAGCTCCGCTACGGTGCGTCGACAAGCGTGCTAAATGTATGTGTTATTGTTTCATTTGCTACTTAATCTGCCATTTAATTTTAATATATTTTTACAGAACATGGTATAAATTTATATCAATGTTCTTTTGGAGAAACTTAATTGAAAATAGTTAATTACATCTTAAGGCCTTTAAGTAAATCAAAGCAAAAAATTAATGAAATAAAGACATAACTGTAATTTTAAGTTCAATTAATTTAATTATATTATACAGTTATAATTTTTTTCTTAAATACTTGCGTTAAAATGTAAAATAAGCAATATTATAATAATGTTGATGTTAATTTATGTTAAATACAAATTATTTTAGTTGTTATTTGTTCTTGTGTTATCAGGATAGATAAAATTAGTATTCTTTATAGCTTCTTAAAATTAAAGATAATATTTCTATTTGATGATCTGGATACTTTTTATTTATCTAATGCTACTCATTCTTTTAAAAATTAAATTTTTTACCTACTTTTTAAATATTTAGTAAATTCGATAAAAATATGTAGTAGTTTTTTAATTTATTATACATTTTTGATTGAACTGAAAGTTTCTTGACATATCTGTACTATTAATATTTATCTGTTTGTCTTCTATTAAACAAATGAAAGATAATTTTAAAGTGTATATACAATCAATATTTCTATCAGTATTTTCATACAATATATTTTTATATATTCATTGTAGCCTATAGGTAATATATAACAATTTAATATTATTTTCCTTATTTTTCTCAAACCTATCTTCATTTTAACTCTTTCAGTTATTAATAATAATTTGACTCAACAAGTTAAACTAAACTTAAATAAGTAATGAAATATTTTTTTATATTGAATTATCTTAAATGGTAAATTGGTAAAATGTAGCAGTGATTATAATTATACACCTGTTAAAGTCTGAACACAGAACAGTAAACATTAATTTATTTTCTAAATAATTAAATATTTTTTTATTTTCAACGTTAATTTTGTTATACTTACCATAATTTTATGTTAACATGCACTTTAATATTGTCTTAGGTTTTATTGTGTTTCAGTTTAATTATACAATTTAATTAAATGTTAACTATTTAAATATCTTATTTAAAATTATATTGTGACTTTCAAATGTTAGTTCAAACATTAGTCCCTTAAAAAAATAAATTCAAGTTATAACACCAAGAATCTTTGTTATTAGTAAAAAATGAAAATTTTTTTATAAATAATAGAAAATGTTGAGACTATAACTTACACCAAGATAATTAAATATCATAATTCCTAATTAATAATGTGATATTTCTTTTTTTCTTTTTGTGCTTTAATTTCAGTAGTCATTTCTCTTGTATTCGCATTGTTAATTTATTAAATAGTCACCGAGATAATTATTTTTAACAACAGATAGAGGGGTTATCCCTCTTAATTTCAACTTTGGAGCACGATGTACTAATGGTCCAACACTTTGTGATTCTGTTCCTGTTTTCATTATGACAAAACAGGGGGGCAAACCACTAGTTAATTTTTTGAACACCAGACTTCCAACCATGTGTATTTCCGTGTACTTCCATGTACTTCCCAGTACTTCCCAGTACTTCCATGTACTCCTCAATATTTTCATATACTTCCCAATATTTCCATATATTTCCCAGTACTTACATATACTTACTTAGAACTCCAAATATAAACCAATGTATGTCATGTTCTTTAAATTTCTTTAAATTTTTTTATACTTCTACCTCGGATAATACCCCAGTTAATGAAATATACTTTCACTGACTATTTTTAATTCTTTTGTTGTGTAGGTACTTTTTACTAAATACTAGGCACTTCTGACAATATCTTTATATATACCTACATATTAAAATTCTATACAAAATTATTTAAGTAAATCAATGTAAGCCTGGATGTAAGCTATGGTGTATTACCAGTATAATATAGGTACTATAATGTTTGTTCAAATAACCTGTTGTTCATGATCATAGGTAATATAATATAATATTCTTATATGATGTAGGGTTACATTACATGTTTGGGGATAAATAATGTTCATGAAAAAAAAGATTGAAAATTTGAAAAGCATAGACATAGAGTCCTAGTCTATGTTATATTATGTATAGTAAATTTAAAATTTAAAATTCATGAAAAATCTAAGAGGTGAAATCAAATAGTTATTGATTATGGTATATTTTGTTATTTGTTATATGTTCATTTAATCATAAATAATCCAATAAATATTACATAACATAATTTTAACATTAGAAAAAAAACAACAGAAACAAAATAAAAAAAAAAAAAAATTACAATTTTAATAGCAAATATGCACCTAATAAGAAAGTAAAACAAAATTTAGTAATAGTGGTAGAATACTTAAAATAATTTTATTTTAATTGTTAGTAAATTTTTATAATTTGAAGCTTCTCTGATCTTTTTATTTCAAATGGACTGAACCCTATCAACTCTATAGGTCCATAAAATATATATTTTCTTGGTACAATTTGAATATCATCATTGATAGGCCATTTGAATTTGTCCAATTCTTCTTTTAAAAATTTTATTGTGTATTGGTTTTCATTAATATTAATTACTCGTCCAATTTACCATTCATTGTCATATATAACAGAATAATAATGTTCAACTTTAATATTTATTATCTCTGTATTTTTTTCGTCATCACTGCTTTCAATATTTTCAGAACTAGGGTCATCATTTAAAATGAATTGTTGGTCACTTGATTATGAAGAACTGTCCTCTGCAGACTTTTCCATACTGGCTTCACTGTGCCTTTTTTTTTTTACTTTTGCCTTTTCTTCAAAGAAAATAGGTTGATGTGAGTTTTCCGGTCTATAACTTAATCTATTATTTGAAGTGTTAATAAATCTTAACCTATCACTACTTACTCGGTTGCGTGGTTGTTCTAAAAGCCAACAAAGTGAAGATTTTTTAATTACCATTGATGTTTTATTAGCCAATATTACTTTAACAAATGGTGAACTAATAGGTATTTTAGATATGCTCAAATCATCATCATTCATAAATTGTTTACTAAAATCTTTTAAATTAAGTCCCATTTCACAGTTTTCCAGTATTAATAAGCAATAGGTGCTTGGACCAAACACAACTCTACATTTGTACATGATGATTCTTCATCAGAAGTTTCTATCCCGGTACAAGTTTCATCTACAGACTTTTTAATACTTGGAGGTCTTTGCATCATAATCATATCATCATCTATACTCATTCCAAGATTTTTTGCCATATTTTTAGCATCATCACAGCTCCTGTTTATCATACTTACAATATTATTTTCAGTATAAATAGCAAAATTAATATATGGTGGTATGTATTTTGTATTTTTTTCTCGAGCAAAACTAATACTGGAAGATGCATTTTTTAATTCGGTTTTTATAGTATTAATAGTTTCAATACGTTTTAGCCTAGAAATAATGGCTTTCGTAGAAAAATTTACTACAGTTGAAAATGTTGTTGTTAGAGATCTAGTTGCTCTAAAAAATTGTTCACATGTTTGACTGCTGAAATTCCAAATTGTAAACATGTCAAGAGTTAGATTTGTATTGTCTCTAAATTTTACTACTAGCCGTATCAAAGAATGCGCATTAATTTCAACACAACTATTACAATTATTAGTAATAAAGTTAGGTATTACCAATGGTGTACTCTTTTTTATTTTTTAACCATGCTTTCTAGATTCTCAAAAAAAAAAAACAATAAACTATATTTTATATATTCTCTCTTCAATATTTAATTCTTTATCTAAAAAAGATGCTAAAATATAGTTCATAATAGTTAAATATGCTACAGTTGCATTTGTACCTGGAAGTTGACTTAAGATTTCTAAAACTTTAGTAAAGCACATTTTTGAGCTGATTGAAAATTCATTTTGTCCTCTGGTTTAAAGTCAGTCATGGTTAATAAGTGTTTATCTTTTGTATGGCTTCTCGTTAATTCCATAAGATGATCTACAGAGACAAAGTAGGTTCCCATTGGAACAACAATATTAGGTTTGAGAAATCGAGTTTGAAGTTGGTCCCAATATGTACAGTATCTTGAATGTATATTTCTCGGTTAGTTTCATCTTTGAATACGATTGGTGGATGACCAATTGAAAACCAAGATCAATCATTTGCTGTTTCAACATTTAAATTATTTTCTCTAGTACACATAGATCCACCTTGTAATTGCTTTGTGTAATCGTGTATCTCCATCAGATGAGAAACCAATAATTTCGATTCCTTGACTATTCCCATTTTGATTCAGACTTTGTATTTTCAACTTCAGTATTAACAACTGCTTTGAATGTATTAGGCGTTGGAACAATTAAAACATAAGAGTTATCCGCCTCAATAACTCCGCGTTCATGAAAATCCTGTTGAGTTTCATTTGAACTAGATGGTTTTGCAATATTTGGTATTAATTCTGGTTGGTTGGTCAATGGTGTAATTGTTGATGTTTTTTTAGGCACACAACTAATAAATTTATCAATGGTCTGTATTTTATTCTTTTCTTCTCTTCTAGTTAATTTTGCTTTGTGTATTTTCACATGTTTATAAAAATTTGAAAATACCCATATTTTTGGATGTCCTGCACTTGCTAATTTCAATATTTTTACTTGTAATTTGCATACAAAACATAATACTGTTTCAATAATATCATTTTTATTACTTGATTCATCTTCGTCTGTATTATTAATAATTTTATTTTCAATATGCAACATTATATTTAGCTCTTCATCATTAAATATATCCATTGCATTTGCATCCAGTCAGTTATTATTTTTAACACAATAGCTCTTTCTGTTGGTAAATCCACATTTAAAATTTGCAATCTACACTTTTTTGAAGAAGGTACATCATCTACATTCTACATCATCTACATTGAGTGATTGTATACTATTACTTTTTTTTTACCTTTTGGTGTTTTATTTGGTACAAGTTGAGTAATGCTTTGTTTAGCTAACTTTTCCTTGTAGAAATCCGAAATGCACATTAAAAGTTTTTTATATCCTGTTAAAATTTTTTTTTAATATACCATAATATTCAGAATATTCATCCTCGTCTATTAGATCTGGTAATATATCCCTAGCAAATTCTTCAATTGATTCAATATCAATTTCATTTATTTTTGATAATATAAAATGATCTGAAAATCCATTTGCAATATGATATAGTATATTAATATAGTGTATTTTTTCTATATAATTTATTATGCATTATATATATATTTAAAAAAAAATCTAATATTTTTGGTGACTACAAAATTCAATAGGACCTATAGTTTGAAAACTTCTGTTTCAAATAATTTATCCAGTCTTAGATAGTCTTAAGTACTTATCAATAGGTATTTTTAATATAAAAATTATGTAGGTAGTTGTTAATAAATAATAAGCTATTTTACATTATTTTCAATATATTTTGCTCCGTAGGATTTTTTTAAGCAGAGGTTTGTGATGAATTTGTTTTGTGAGTACAGAAAAAATAAGTATTAGTTTAAACTTTATAGATTTTTTTAATTGTTATAACAGTTTCACAAATCATAATATTATTTTACAATAATTAGATGGTCGGCAGTTATCACAAAATATATTTTGTAGTTTCTAAAGTGTTTAATACTATTTAATTGTGACAACTCAAGGTTTTGCACTATAAGTATATTCTAACTGATAACATACATCTACATGCTGCACAGTGTATATAACATTTTTCATTTGTTTAGCTTTTATATTTATTATTTCTTTATTTTATTTGTTATGTAGATGAAAAAGAAAAAATAACAGTTCCACCACAGTTTCACGTTACCGAGGTATTTGTACTATTTCGTTTTCTCTAATAGACAAAATTACAAAATAATATGTTTATGTTTTTCAGTGTTCAAATAATTATATTACAGATGTATTGGGAGTCAAAAGTTGTTCGTTTCACCAGTCCACAAGTACCACATTACCTCCTATTGAGAAAGACAGTAAAGGTATTGGCCTGGATAAAGGTCTGGTCAAGTTAAGAATCATAGTCAATCAGTTTTTTGCCATAGTCTGGCAACACCTATTTATTTCTCAACTCTGTTTATTATCTGTATACCTTTTTTATTTTATGTAAAATTACTACATGAGAGGTGTTTTGAATATTGCTTGGCGCCCTTGTAGTGTGATTTATTAAGTAAATAATGTATGCAACTTTGATATGCTCTTATGAGACCAAAGTCTACTTTTCTCAATGAACGCTGGTATATATTGTAGACAATCCTTAGCAATTAGCTAAGCTACAATGTTCTGACTTATTCACTCACAATATTTTTTACTGTCCAAAGTTCTATGATGGGCAATCTTAGACCTTTCATTCACCATTGCTTGTAAGCCATCGTCTCGGACCGGTCTTAGCTACATGTCCTAGACATTCACTTACTGAGTATCCTCTTTCGAGTTGGTGCTTGATCCAGCCACTTTTGGATCCCATGTGTGACTGAGCTACTCTGACAGCCTTGGCCTCCTGTCTCACCCTCTCTTCATCTTTCTTAAGGGTAAGGATCTCCTTTACCATTTTGTAAAAGATCCTGAATGTCTCTTCTGCTTCTTTGAAGACTAGTCCCCTCAGCAGTTAATCGCCCGAAAGGACTTCAAAATAGGGCCACACAGAATATCCGGTTTATCTTCGACCTCAGGATGGTGACCCATTTATCCTCAGAACTCAGCCCTAGTTCTGACAGTGAAAGATTATCTGTAAATATGGTGTGTAATATTGTCACTCCCCCGTGTACTAGTCAACCACTGATTACGTTTCTTAACTTGAACAAAGTATAAGTACCTACCTACCTATATTCAATGAATTCTGAAATGGTCTAAAATGGGATTTATCTATACAAATGCATACAATTATTTTATAATGTTCTTTTTTAGGAATATTTTACGAAAATTACATTGTCGAGTATTCATTGAATGACGAGAACTTGTTTTTGTCGTCCGATGCTAGAGATGGGTTAGGAATTCCAGTAATGGTTGTAACTCTAGACCCTACACAGAACAAGTGTTTTGGAAATTCGTTGAGTCGGTATTTTTTAGAAAATTTTATTGGCTATGACGAATTACTATACGCCTCATTTAAAGCTGTGGCTCAATTTGTAGAAAACAGAGGATTTTTGAGGTAAGTCTTTCTTATAAAGAATTATAGCTTGCTATAAATAATTTTAATTTATTACTTTGCCTAATGTAGAAAATATTATTATTGTTTTACATTTCAGAAATGTCATTACCTGGAAACATTGCACAGTTATGGGAAAAACGCAGAGGGATAGAGCATCATACATTCTTTCGTTTTTCATTATGATTGTGATTGTTTGTATAAATTATTGTTTACTATAATATACAGCTTAACTAAAAAAACTATTATCTTGAGTAGTAGCCCTTACACAAAGGGGTTCAAGGATGTGAGCCATGTATTACATTTATATAATATGAAGTCATTAAGTAGGTAACTGTAATAGATGTGTTAAATTTTAATTTAATTAAATAATGTTATTTCATACAAAATTACCAACTGTTATTAACTTAAAAGTTAACTCTGAAGAAGACTTGTTGGATTGTGTGAATAGGTTCGTTATATAAATAACTCAAAATTAATCTAAACATTTTTAAAATATCATCAAGTAAAGTTAATACATAGTTGCAAAAATTTCAAGTCCCTACAAATAAATATTTGTTGAATCACAAGAACAATTGTTGAGGATGAATAGTTAATATATATTTTTTATTTGAATATTCAATGACGTCATAATTTGAAACTTCAACCACTCATAAAAATGTCTAATTTCTAATAAAAAAAACTTTTGAGGAATCTTGTGCATTAAAGTTTTAAAATTTAGGTCCTTACATTTAAAATTGAGTGAGTGGGTTAGTGGATTAATTAAAATATATTTAAGTTTTATGTAATCTGTATCTCTACTGTAAATTAGGGATTGTATCAATGTAATGGATGTGTTACTTTTGAATTTAATGATACATAATCATTGTATATGAGAAACGATTCTGATTGTAAACTGTCATCTTATATTACTATAATTATATTTTATAAGATTATAGCTACCTATTAAAGTATTAACATTTTTTGTTAGTAATACAGTAGATTGAATTAATTTTTAAATTTGAAAATGTCAGTGTGTATAAACTAAAATAATATACTTCAAGTGTTTCAAGTAGGTGGCTATGAATAATATATTTAAATTACCATAAAATAACTAAAAGTGTTATTCTTTGTTTAAATATTTAATTTTATCCACGTTTGAACTTAAAATATCCTAAAAAAGAATAAACTGTGTTCATACATTTTTTGGTTACGGTATAAATTATTTATGAAAAACCAATTTTAATCTTTAACTATAAAAATTGAATATTGTATCAACCTTTAAGACTCTCGATGCCAATATAGTTTTGTTAACAATAATACATTTTACAGAAATAATGATCTTGTCCTGTAGAATCAATCAAATTTGATCATTATTTTTAAACTTATAAAAGGTAATACAGGTCGCATTGAACTCTGTTTTTTTAAAATATTTATTTCTCTATACTTAAAAATAAGACAATTTTAAGTGTATTTTACAAATAATTCTATACCATTATTATTATATAGACAATATAGTTATCAAAATTTGACAATTCAAGACCTGAGAGTTTTTCTAGTGAAGTAATTTTTGTTAATATTATACACCGTATAAACTCTCCCCCCTTCACTTTGATGAATTTTATACGAATTTGAACTTAAAATGTATTTATCATACTTATGTATCTTTTATTATTTTTAAATTTCTTCTGTGGACGCTTTGCGCTCAATAAACATTTTTGGAAACCCGCCGAGAAGGCTAAGGGGTGCTGGTGACGCAATTTGGCTTAACTGTAAATTGATACAAAAAATAAAACAACAATAATATAAACCCATGATATATGTACATAGAATAACCTAACAAATGTATTGAGTTTCTGTAGTAAAAATTTAAAAAACCTTCCTATCTTCGGGTTAGTAATAGTGTATCTTCGGACATAAAACAAAATATCAAAAATCGTTTGAGAAAAAATAGTTATTTAATATTTTACATTTAAATAGCTTATGTATTTTTGAGTGAGCAAAAAGTTACTGATCGACAATAATTGGAAGAGAATTAAAATATATCAAATATTTCTCATATCTTTAAAAAGTTCAAAAAAATTTAAATATTTCTAAAATTTTATCTTGTTTTTTTTTAAAATCTTTATACTAACATTTAGTAATTAAAAACTGGTTTTGAGTAAAAATTCTTTCTTGATATGTTTTAGTTTTTCTGACGTTTTCTGGAAAAAACAATCTTTTTTATAAAATCAATACATTCAGCGGAGTGCTAAGGATTTAAAATTATAATTTTAACTAAAAAATGATTGTTGGATTCTTCATATATTACATAAAAAATTGATTTTTAACCATTTATAAAAACAAAAATGTTATTGTGTATAAAATAAAATATTTTTTAAATTTATTGTGTCGGAAATCCTTCCATAAATATATTGTGAAAAATGCTAGTCTATAAAATAAATACTCCTTTTAGTACCTATTACAACAACAACATAACAACTATTTTGTCGGCAACTATATACTTGTATTCTAAAGATTTGTTTAAAATTGTCCACTTTTCCATAACTTTTTTGCTTTTCCTGATTTTTTTTTAAAAAGTACTGGTTTGTAATTTGTATCCAAGTTAAACATTTGTAATTGTTTTTTGATTTCAGACGTCTTTGATTTCATTGTACATGAGGTACTTGAATTATCAACTAATTCTTTCCCTTGATTATTTATTAAACCATTTTAACGGTAATAAATAAATAATAATATGTACTACATTTTTTTTGCATTTTGTTTACTTATTGCTGCTTATTATTTTTCCAGGGGAAATTGGTCTATTGAAATTTTATGCGTGTTTCATGGGTTTTATGGGTGAGTGAAATAAATTATAACAATTTTTTGTCGCAGCCCAATATTATTATTACTATAACTTTGTCAAACGTTGTACACGTCATTGGAGTTCACTAACTCCACAACGTCCATCTCACACAAATATAATTTTATCTATGCATTAACAATTAAGGATTTACTGAAATTGATAATTGATAACGTTGTGTGTGCTGTATCCTGCATTGTTGTTCAGTTCTATACTGTGCCAATAATAATAAGGTCGACAAAAGCGTATAAAAGGGTTTTGATCTCTAATGACTATATGCAATTAGTTTATTTATTTACTGTGGTTTGAATAGTAATTATTATTTATATTTCTGACAGGCCTAGTCTCATTAATATGGTTATACTTCAAAGATCTTGATGCATTGTTTTACGTCATGTTGATCGTCGTAACGGCTGAAATGTACTACGCAGCATTCACCCAGTGTCCGACTACGAAAAAGCATTGGCCAAAGTGAGTATCCACCTATTATACCTAAGGTTAAGTTAGGTTAAAAGTTATGTTACTTTTAACTTAGTTACCTATTGAGTTGCTTTTATTTTCATAAGTAACTTCTAACTTCACAAGTTCGTTTTTTTTTTAAGTTACGTTAATTGATTTATTTTTCCTATTATAAATTCCATAGATTTATATGCATATAAAAAAAAAATATTGTCTGAAGTATGAAATACTTTTTATGTTATTTCTTATTTTATTCTTTATTCTAAATAAGTTCTAAATTGTAAACTGTCTCAAGTGTTTTGCATTATTTTTATATTTGACATTTCAATAGGTATCAAAATAACATAATAATTAATAACTAATAAGTACAACTATCTACTTATCAAATTTATGAAACAATTTATGATTAAATGACGTGTAAGTAACAAAAATGTATTAAAACAATTTTTTTTGTTTACTTGAATTACTTGAATACTTGAAGTACTTATTGTAATTAAGACAATTATATACATTTAAAAAATGTATGAAGACCTCTTATATTATGTTATTAGTTAAGCCTTAATGAAAAGGTATGATAATTAGTTTTCATGAAAAAAGTAACTTAATATAAAAGTGAATGTAAATAAAAGTATCCCTCAAAATGTTAAAAATAGTTCTAGATTCCTTAAAACAATATTAAGCACCAGGCCACGTTAAAGTATAAAACTGCAATTTTACCATCAATTTTTACAAATTACAGTACAAATCAAAACTATACCATAAAATAAATGGTTGTTTAATCAAAAATGTTCTCGACGGCAGTGTCGGTCAAATGATTTTGTCATGTGGGAGTGAGGAGGATATAGCTAATTTTTTAACATAAGTACACCATTTGATTATTAGAAATATAATTTTTATTTATATCTAATATCAATTTTTTAAATTATGGTAGTAAAAAACTTTATTTACAAAAGTATTAATGAGAATATTTCTATGGCATTTTTGAATCTATTTTAGATCCTGAGCGGTGAATATATTGATTTTACAATGTGTTAGGCATCACGGTTTGGGGCAGTAAAAGTGCTTCGATTTTCTTTAACAGCAACTTTCCTGGTAGGAAAGTGAATCTAGTTGGTCCATCTGGGAGGTGAAAATATAAAATTTCCCATAGTTTTCAAAAGTGACAGGAAAAACAAACAGATAATTCAGGCAAATCGGTAATTTTTTTAGCAAAACCAGTTTTTGATTGATTTTGATTGATTTTGATTCATGAAATTTCTACAGAATATTTGTGTTAGGATTTTCTATACACCATACAATTTTCAAAATATTTTGACTTGTGTTGAACTATTTATAGGCATATGAAATTTTTCGATTATTATTTGTTTTTTTAAAATTAATGTCGATAAAAAAATTTTCACTCTATCAAAAATCTTGTAAATGTATTACAAGATTCCTCGTATGTGGTTGTTAGTGGAAATTAAAAATAAAGTTGAGCTTAAAAATACAATGATTTTTTATAAATGTTTAAAATTAGAATTTTTACAAAATTTTTAAAAATCACAAAAATTAGCAAATAATTTTGAGTTAGAAATTTATAAAAACTTTTCTTTTTATATCTAAGATTTATACCTAAAATTTTTATATCTAAGATTTAAAGATGTAATATAAGATTCTTTATAAATTTGTATACTTTTATCAAAAAAAAATTTCCACGGAAATTCAAATTAAATTTTTATGAGTGTTTGAAGTTCAAATTTTTACAAGATTGGATACTCACCCGTTTTCTCATTTAGCGATTTTCTTATTTTGTTGTAATTTAAAAATGTAGACACTTGAAATTTACACCATATATTTATTTCATCAATTCATATACTTAATAAAACATTCAAAATATTTTAACTCGTTTTAAGCTGTTGACGGAAATTTTCATTTTTTTTCTATAAATGTCAGTTATAAATTATTGGGTGGGTCAAAAAGCATGACAATTTAATATAAGACTCTTGATGTATTGTTACAATAGCAGTAAAAAAATATTAAAAATACGTAGGCACGATTTTTTTAATGATAATTTTAAGTTCAAATGTTGACAATATTTATCAAATTGATAATTGAAAATGATTTTGTGGTTAAATAAATGTATACTATTTTCAAATTTTATAACTAGAGATTTAAAATTTAAATCAAGGTTCCACTTAAGCAGTTTTTTCTGTAACTGAAAAATCTAAAAAAATTGAAAATACAGTTATTTTTTACATACATTTACAAAATTACTTTGAATTATCTGATGTTGATCTTTCATTCATTATTATTTTTAAGATTTTTAATGAAAATATATATAGTTAATATAACAGATCTTTTTTTAAATGGGTAAAAATTAGTTTATAGTTGCTAATATTTTTGAAGTTATGGATTTTCAAAAATATATTCTGATGATCATCAGATTCCTATACTAAGAAGTACTTAACATCAAATTTAAAATTATACAGGGTACTACAGTGACAGTGGGCAGGAATTGTAATGAATACACCAGGATTACATTTTTCTGCGATTCCAATTCATGCTGTATATGTCTGGTATGTGAGCATGCGCGTTATTGCATCTCGAAGGTTAAAAATAAAACTGCCTATGTAGTATGTATGTATAATAGGTAAAAAAAAAAACAAAAATAAATTGTTGTTAAGCAACATACTATTTTGATGCATTGATGTATATTTGACATATATAATTTTTAATGTACCCCGAACGGCCCAGCCGTTCTCAATTGATGAATTGTTATACATTTTTGGCTCCATTTTTATATATATAAATTATTCTAACAGTGGTGTATCTAGAGAGCCTAGATAATAAGAAAGTGGCCAACTCAATTGATAGCGGCCATTTTTCGTCCAAACTATTTCCGTGCTTTATATTTTTGAATATATGTTTTTCAAAATTTCGTAATCTGAAAATCTTACCATTCGGTTCTTTTTCTTCTTTCTTGTAGTTTAATACATTTTTATACTAATTAGGTACACATAGTTTATGGTCATGATGAAGGGCAACTACATTTTGGTGAAGAGCAAAGATTATTGAAACGCAACACAGCTTCTTAAAATGTAATATACTAATATTTTTTATATTACCTCAGTATATGATTTAACCTAGATTTATATTTATATATTTACATTATAATAACCATATAATTACATACATTGCATGTGCTATACATAATATAATACTTGATAATTATTAGACTAATAATTAATTAACTTTAATTTTGAACTTATAGAATATATTATGTACCTACTCACAGCATAACTATTTTAAACAAATCAATATATTTACATATAAATAAAAATTAATACAGTAGACAAGTATATTAATTTCAGTATATTTATTAATATATATTAGTAGGTACTAATTAATTATACATTTTGTAAATATATTTTGTTATTATTGTATTATACATTTTAACCTATTTTACTATTTACTATTACTATTTACTATTTACTTTTACTAGTAAAATAGATCTTCAAGAATTCCACTGGAAAATGATATTTTTTGTAATTTTTGACGTATTGTTCTAAGAGATGGTAAAGGGTTATTTTGTGCAAGAAGTTTCTCATAACCATTTGATCCACAGGCAAATTTTAAGCGTAATGCTGTTTTAATAGAGGCATTTGACCACTTAAACCCCTTTTTATTTTTAACACTTAGTGATGCTATATGATTGTCGCTTAAAAATGATTTCAAAGTTTTAGCAAATGTAGCGTATTTAATATTTTGTGTGTAATTCATTTTAAGACTGTGATTATTATTTTGACGTAACTTGTGTACTAATTGGCCTTGTTTTGATAATTTTTTTTTTTTAATATTCAATTTGTTTTAAAAGATTAGCTTTTTCTAAAGTGTCTTTAGGAATAATATTAATGTCTGTATATGTATTATCTATACTTGGTGGGTTATCAATGGAGGGTTCCAAATGTTGTTGGCTTGTCGCATAAGAATGTTCAGTTATATTAGATTTTGCTCGTTTAATCGGACTTAGAGTTGACTTCTGTAACCTTTTTACTGGAGTTTTTTGAATTGGTTTGATTGGTTGATGAGTAAAAATTGTAAGGACAGCAGAAAACTTCAATTTCTTTTTACCATCTACTCTAACCTTTTCCCATTGGCTTTCATCAAAATGACTATAAATAAAAATAACAATTCAATAATAATAAAAAAAATTATACATTTTAAAATAAAAATATGTAACTGACAGCCTTATAATTAATTACAACTTAAAGTTGGTACCTATAATTATCATACCTAATACCTATCAATATATTTTTACATTTAATTTCATAGTAATTTACGTTGAAAGTAACTATTTTTAATAAATACCTAAATAAAATTAAATAATAATATTTAACTATAATCTGTTAGTATTTCATTTCCTCAAAGGCCAAAAGATTGTTCATTAATTATTTTTTAGTTTATTAAATAATATTATTATATTTTTATTGTTAGGTATATTGAATAATGAAATGTGTTAAAGATAAACACATTAATTATGTATCATGTCATGATTATAATTCTAAACTTATATTTTTAATTGCCTTCTCTTTAAAATAAGTTGAAAATATATATATTTACTTCACAAAGATAAGAATTGTTTGTTGGCTTCCACTTGTCCCTTTTTACTGTTGATGCCCACAAGGCACGCCTCACCTTATCTTTAGGAAAGGCTTTTAATATGAAGCCATTTTCAGATCGATTAGAGCAACCATAAGCACAGCATCCAGGCATTCTAACACAATATCATAAATAATTAAATTTAGTTGGTATGCACTAGAAAAATAATATTCATTTTGAACCTAATAGATACTAATTAATAACTTATTTTCAATATGGTTCAATGACACAAATATAAATAATATTTATTATTAAAATATTACAAACTATGTTAGGTTGGAATAAAAATATAACTTGTCTTGCACTATTTGCATAAAAATGTAATTGCAAATTAATTAAATTTAATATTATTATTTATATTATAATTTATAATGCATATTTCGTATCTTGACTATAATACATATTAAATATTTGGACGATTAATGGCGTCCAGGGCGACTGATAGCAGTTGACCAATAGAAAGTTATCACCGAGTTGGCCACTCTCTTATTATCTAGGCTCTCTAGGTGTATTTATTCGTTAGATAGTATTAATAAGGTATATTTATATATCCTAATATTTATAGGCACATGTTGTTTTCTATGTGTATAACTATAATATATTATGTAAATTGATTATGTAATTATGTATCTGTTCCAGATTTTTCTATCTGTACCTGTTTGCGTTCTATGCTTACGACTATCGGTTCGACGGCCAGTATAGACCCATGAGTCTCGCTTGTTCGTGGTCTTTTATACTGGTAATTTGAAATGGATTTATATTGTAACCATTGGTTTTATTGTTTCACGATATGGATTGAATAGATAATTATTATAACAATTAATTTGAAAATAATTTTGTCCAAATTTAAACTTAAAATACCTATAAAAAAAACTGTATTTATTTATTATATGTTATAGTTATAGTACGAATTATACGCATGAGAAGCCTTGTTTCAAATTTTCAATCTTAAGCTATACAAACTGAACATTATGTCAGTTTGTAACTACGAAATAATAGTCTGCTGATTTTGGTGATTTTGATAACATTCTAACAAGCTCTAATATGCTTTTAAAAAAATCTTCCCCGTGTTCTTTAATTGTTTTTAACTGCTATGTGACTACTTATGAGGAATCTCTCATTAATTTTTCAAATTTCTCATATCTGTAAACAACTAAAAAATAGTCAAAATATTTTTAAAATTATATAATGTATGAAAATGCTCATATAAATATTTAGTGAAATTTAAATTATCTAGTCTTTGAATTGAATCAAAATAACAAAATTGATTTGGTCGAATAAATGTTTTATGTAAACATTGCTATTTTTTCATAGATGAATTAATTATAAATTATGATAACATGTATTATGAACTATGATACATTGATATTCATAACTGACATTTTGAAAAATATAATAGTTTATTAGTGATGAATAATTAACTCATTTTTCTATCAATTATTGATGAGCATATTGATTTTGTTTTTTATTAGATTTCTTATTTCGAATTGAATTGTAGGTTAAGCACTTAACCCACTAAGTATACATTTATATGGTGTACCTATTGAGAGTGTACCTATAATCTATATAATATACATGTAGCCTATTCGTGGACCTACCCACGACTGTACAAATTTGTTGTTTTAAACATATTTCTTTTAATTTTTTTTCCACAGCATTCTATGATATACTTTTATCACCATGTTGAGCTGCCAAACGTGTTGTGGCAAATCGAACTGCAGGAGATTATTATCCAACGGCGATTGCAACAGTTGAGGCAACAGGACCGAACAGCCAGCCGGCATGGATTTCGTGCTCCCTGAAGACTGAAGTCGGGTAGAGGTGACAGTCTGATCTAGTCATGTCCGGCATTTCAGCCCGCAGAATGGACTGAATTGCGGACAGTTAGTGGTTTTTATATTATATACCCATATAAACTATTATAGTATTAAGAATTTGTAATTTTTCAAAATTATTTTATACACCTGTATATCGATAATAATAATTATTAAAAAACTACATCTGTAACCTAATGAAAAAAGATAATATCACCTTTAACTGAATAACTTTATAATTATACTGAGTGATTCAATGAATGTAACACACTCATTGATTCAAAAACCAATTTTCTAAAAATGTATGTATTTTTTTATCGTAACCGTTTTTAAATTATAAATTTTTTAAAGACAACACAAATTAAATTTTTTTATTCTAAAGCTGAATATTTGTTGAGTACTTTGATGCAATCAAATCTTATATAAGTATATTACTACTGACAGTAGATTATGAATTATCAGATATATTTTAAGTTGGACGGCGATACGGAGTTAAACAACTTTTTAGTATAATTAACTATAAAAATTCAAATTTTATAGATCGAAGTACTTCAAACAATATTCTGCTTCGGAATATAGAATTAAAAATGTATGTCATCAATGAAAAGGATAATCAATTTGAAAATAACAACGATAAAAAAATTGTAAAAAATATTGTTTTGTAATGACTTGAATGTACTATTTGATGTAGACAAAATACTTTTAAGTGTTTTCTGAAATAATGGGTGTCTTATGTTAAATGGATCACCCCTAACATATGTATTTGACATATGTAAATGGCTTTACCTATGTAAAGACTACAACGTCGGTGCCATTGCTACTTCCATTATAGTCAATTTCCGCCTAGATTGCTGGGCCACTATAATTTATACTAAACCTACCAGCCAATAAAATACAATAACTACAAATAAAGTAACTCTCTTCTAAGGAGCAGCTGCATGCTGTTAGAATCAACCATTTTTATTTTATTTTATCTGCTCTATGCAAGAGAAGATTTTTTTTAATTTTACCGTATAGTCAAGTACCACCATAAAGGAGTCCCATGGTCTGCACCGGGAAAAATGAAAACAAATCAAATTGTATTTAATTATAAAAAGCATTTATTTTCTTTAATATGAAAGTGCGTTGGCTGGTTTGTTTTTTTGTTTGTCTTTAATTATTATTATTGTTATTCTTGTTATTCATGAATTTTTATTTGATTCATCCAACAATCATAATATGATTGTCATTTTCTTCTGATCTACATATTTATAATCAATTATGATTATTATTATTATTGTTTTATCAGTTTAATAATTGTCATTCATTATTACATATTATTACGACATTTTGGTCTGGAGTTTTGTGCCTACGTGAGCTTTTTCCAACCCACGTGTCTGTATTAAAGATCGAATTATTTACTCATACTTATCTTTTTTTATTATTCCTTATTCTCTTCTATTGATATTGGCGTTTAATCGATTAACATTTGGTATGGATGAAAGATTCTTAAAAACTTTTAATGCAAATATTATGAAAACAATATTTATCTTGATATACTATTTTGAATTTTCTAATTTATACTAAAAGTTCGTACAATGTATGAATGCATGCACCAAAAATTGGTAAAATAGCATGAAAAGTGAAAATGCTAAAAAATTCTCGAAGAACGGAAAATAAAGTATTAAATAATCCTTTTTTAAACTATTTTACATGTACCATACACAATACACCTATAATCTATATAATATGTGTTCAATAAGAATTATGATAACCAATAACATATTTAACTTTGGTTGTACAACAATAATTATGATGCAGCATGTTGAACTTATTCGCATCATTGAATTATGTTCTCGCATTCATAAAAAAATATATATGGAAAATAAAACCATACTATGAAAAAATGTAGTTATTGTTTTACAAAGGCTAGAAAATGTAAGAAAACTATTATCTGCAACAATTCAATTATAATATAAACAATAATTATAAGTACTTGCCGAGTCTGTTATACATAATTTTGGTTTGATTTAAAAAACGATCCGACTTCTAATTGCAATTTTTTATTTTTCTTATTTATTTTTACATAACCTGACATTTTAACACATTTAATATTAGATGATTGTAGTTTATTAACTTAAATAAATTGATAAATATTAATATGTGTTATGTGTAAAAGAACCACACTCAACTATGTAGATAAAAAGATAATTTAAAATAACAATATGTAATAATATAATTTTTAGACTAGGGAAAGTGAAAACAGTATCTTTCTGTGTGGTCACATTGATTATAGAATGACAACATAAATAATAAAAACAAAACAGACACATATTGTTGCTTAACATACATCATAATCAGAAAGTTGTAGTAAAACTGTGCTAAATAAAGGTACATGGTGCATTGGTTTTTCTGTCTGGAGAACCATAACTATTTATTATTTATGATAGCAATAATCACTCACATGGATATCAAATTTAATCATAATACATTATAATATGACAGATAACAATGTTTTATTTATTTAAAATTAAAAAATAACACGGCAGCAACACGCAGTAATTATATACTCCTTTACTCCACATAGGGCTCGGATGTTGATGGCTTTTTCATAGTTTTTTGGAATATCACAGACGATGCTGTCTCAACTTAAAATGTGTTTCAATAACATATAAATTTAAAAAACCAATTTTTATTATGCAAATTTTTTTTGTACACTTTCACATACCTGGTATAGCAGGAGTAGGAGTGGCGGAAAGTGCAATATCCTGGTTCCAGTCCACTGTCACTGGGTAATTTTCAATTCTTTGATGGTATGTACCTATTAGTATAGGAATCAGATGATCATCAAAAGATACTTGGAGAACCAATTACATATCTCACCAAAGTTCTCCCGAAGTTGAGAATCTATAACTTCGAAAATATTTCTAACTACCTACTACTTTTTAAATATTTTAAAAAGGTCTATAAAATTATCCATATTTTTTTTTAAATTTAATGTAAGGCTCCTAATATATTCCTAACCTTACAATTGCAGTTGAAAAATATTAAAATGCATAATCACACCTATTTTTATAAGCATTTAAAGTTCGAATTTTGATAAGTACTTAGAAATAACGAAAATGTGCAAATTAATTTGAGTTTAAAATTCAAAAATAGTTTTCTATGTTTAAATCTAAGATTTTAAAATTAATACAAGATTCTCCATAAGTTAGTCTACCTTTATAAAAAAATAAATGTCTACCGGAAAGTCAAATTAAATTCTTATGCGCTTTTGATATTGAAATTTTTACCACATGGGATATTCGCCCGATTTCTCATGTAATAGCGATTTTCTTGTTTTTCAAAAACGAATAACAGTAAATACTTGAATTTACACCATATGTTTATTTTATCAATTCAAATACTTGATAAAATATTCAAAATATTTTGACTCTTTTTTTAGCTGTTTTTTTTGAACAATTTAAATTTTTAATTAAATTTTATTTCTATAAATGTTAATAAAATTATATTTGTTGCATCAAAAAGCTTGAAAATCTAATATAAGGCTCCTGATATATTGTTACAATATCAGTTGAAAAATATTAAAAGTACAAAGGCGTGATTTTGTTTTATAAGCGTTTAAAGTTCAAATGTTGACAAAATTTATCAAATTGAAAATTTACAAATTATTTCGTACTTAAATATTTGTATGATTAAATTTTATAGTTAAGGATCGAAAATTTAAAACAAAGTTGCACAAAAGTAGTTACTCCTGTAACCAAAAAATCTCTAAAGTTAATTCGAACAAATTATTTTTATAGTTATTTTATGTTCAAATTTGGGCGAAATTACATTTTAAATAACCAAGAAAAATGTTTTTAGTTATTTTGTTGTAATCTTAAAATATTATTCGAGGGTAGGTATTTGAAACTTTTAGAGTATATTGTTATATTTAATACACCAAAATTAATTTAACATACTGTAGTACTGCTTAGAAGTAAAAGAAAGTACTTTAATCACAATAATATTATCAAATATACTAAATTACTAAGTAAATTTATAGGTTGACAGACCGCCTTGGCTCAAAATCGTTTTTCGTATAAAATGATTTTATATTATTGAATTCAAATTTAACACCATCCATTACTGTGACCCACTTGTAACGTATTGTACAGTAGAGCGACATCCACATTGGTACCAGCTTTTTGTTTTATTTTATAAATTTTGTAATTTTTCAAATTTGATTAGCAAAACTATTGTTTTTGATTCATTTTAAATTTCACTACCATTTATATTCATCGAGCGGTAATTGATTAATTTTTTTTTTTTATATGGTATTTTATTAAATTTCAGTATTATAACAGTACTAAAATCACATTTCTTGCAATATACCTAATATTCCAATTGACGTTAAAGATCAAAATAATATGTACAATACAGTGGCGCAACTAGAATTTTTTCAAGGGAGGTGTCCGCCAGTAGCGTATACAGTTTCCCCTAATTATTTTTTGTAAAGTTAATGAGTAGAAAATTTCAGAGGACTACTATTTAATATTTACCTATGATATTGTTTCATTCAACCGATTTGAATCAAACCACCACCATAATTATTTCTGAATGCACTACTGACGTCTTACGTTTTATTAAATGAACAATTTATATCACGTATGTTTAGATAAAAGTTACATATAATTTTAGCAATTTTCAAGAAGTTTACAAAATTAATAATTATTATATTTATAACAATATTATAAATTTTAAATTACAAAGTCTAATCGTCTTTTTTTCTTTGCTAATTCTTTTATAACGGCCGCGGAATCTATATCAACTTTAATTTCTCGGTGAATATTCAATGCTGCTAAACCATTTAATCTATTGTCTGCTGTTGAATTTCTGAGGTATGTTTTTATTCGCTTTAAAGTTGAAAATGACCTCTCGGCTTCACAAGATGTTACGGGTAACGTTAAAAGAATTGTCAGTAGCTTATGAATGTTGGGATATAGGGCATTATTGCAATTACTGATTACTTCAATTGTAGTAACCATTTTTAAATTGGTTTAAAGCCGTAGTTTGAAAACTTGATGATGCCAAATTTTTACTTCAACTAAAACCGTTAATGAATCTTCCAGGTCATTAGCATAAAATTCCACCAAATTTTTGATCAAATTTTCTTGTTGTTTAGTAAGAGGTTCAATTGGAAAAAGCATTTGAAACCCTTGAATAATTTCTTTATTATTAATAAATCTGTCATTTAACTGACTTATGATTGAATCTAAAAAAGTTATAAATAAAGAAACTTTAAAATAATCTTGAACCGTATTACTTGGAATATTTTGTCTATAAGTCTGTCTGTTTGTAATTCTAGGCATTTTTATTTCAAAATCTAAATCATTTGATTTTCTCTGAAGTTCAACAAAGTATTTTGAAAATTCGTTGTTGACATTATTCCTAACTTCATGTAATTGACGTACAACATTATCAATGTGGTCGAGAGCTTGAATAATTAAATCTATGTTAGGTTTTTGTAAGTATATACATAAAGATACTGTGTACTGAAATATATTTTTTAAAACAATATGACCAACATTAAACTCACATTCTTTTTGAGACAATGATAACATACGAGCTTAACTGATGTTGCGTTATCTACCCAACTAGTCATCTCTTCTAAACACGAATGTACAGACGGAAGAAGTTGTTCAAACACTGCTACCGAGTCGTGCCTTTCAACCCATCTTGTCGAACATAAACAATACTTTCTAATGATACTTAAAAATAAATTATGACGGCAGTTAACATTATAAATTTAAAAAAAGATTGAACATTTTTTTTCAATAGTTATTGAATATAATTAAATATAAATTTCCTATTACACGGTTCAAGGGGGGTGTCCAGACATCCAAAACACCCCTCTTGGTTGCGCCACTGGTACAATAAGACATATTTACAATTTATTTTATATTTTAAATTAATAAATACAAATCTTCTGTAATTGGTAAAAAAATGAAAAATAACAAGTTAAATTATAAATTCCAGCATGGCACCATATAATATTTCAGATGTCGTACTACAATGACGCGATTTTATTATCTACCCCACACCTACTATTTATTCCCCATTCAAGCTAGGCGATCGAACCTTCTATTTATATTATAGACATATACAATAACTAGATTGTGGACTGCATATACATTCCTACCGGAAAGTTGAAGTCGTGTGGCCATATGTCAACAGGGCAATGTTTACAAAATAACTCAATAGACAATACACCTACAGACCTACATATATTTATATGGTGTATATACTACGAATATATGTATATTATCAACCATGCAATTTGGCAGTGATGGCACAAGGTTTTGCCCGACTTCAATATTATCCTGTAGTCGGCTATCTAGTTATTTTATATGTCTATGATTTATATTTATTTTGGGTCCAAACGTCATTTTTGGCCGAGTTGTTGTAATCAGATGTTAACACTGTACTTGTTTGTGCGTCGTCTAGTCTTATTTTAGTTTAGCGTGCTTTGTTGTCGTGCGGGTGTGCCAGAGGAGTACGTTCGGTCTGCACACGCTTATGGGTATTAAATTAAATATTGTAATTCGCTTTGTATTAACCTATTTTCATGTCCGTTGTGTATATATTTCAAAATATAATAATGTAAAGAAGTCAATAATTATGAAGTGTCTTGTGTCGAGTAGGAATTTCCTTCTACTATAAGGAGCCATTAACTAAGATATTATACGTTTTATGTCAAAATATAATATACATTGCATTGAACGCACAATGAATAAATAATACTTAATAATAGTGGTATGGTATAGGTTTATTATCATTTGGCGGTATTCGAAAGTCAGTCTGATTCTGATATGATTATATTTTTTTCTCCAAGATAAGAATATTCCAAAGAAGATATATAATTTTTTGTTTATATTGTGGATTTTTTTTTAACGATAGTGTATTTGCCAGTCATTCTCGTAAACACTGAACTCAGGTATTTATTAAATTTCCTTATCCTTCAGTTCTTAGCATTAAGTTTTTTTATATTATTATTTTGCAAGTGCGTGCTTAACTTATTTTAAATTATTCAAACTATGGCTTTTTCGAGTGATGAATTGAACTTCCTCGTTTATCGATACCTACAAGAATCTGGTAACTTCAATTACCCTTAATTGTTTTTTACGCTATATTTGAATTAAATGTATATTTCGTTTAGGCTTTCAACATTCTGCATATTCGTTTGGCCTTGAATCGCACATTTCTCAATCCAACATCAACGGAGCTTTGGTTCCGCCAGCTGCTTTGATTAGTATCGTTCAAAAGGGTCTGCACTACACCGAAGCTGAGATATGCGTTGGAGAAGACGGATCAGAACTGCGTTTGATTGAGAGTTTGTCTTTGATTGATGCAGTCATGCCGGATATTGTAGCCAGTCGACAGAGCCAAAATCAAGATAAACAAAGTGGGGTCAAGAATGATGTACAAGGTACAAATGGCGAAGAAGGCACAGCAACAGTGACCTCGGCTATTTCTAGCACTAATACAATGGAACTAGATAACAGTATTGAAATACCTGCCGAAAAATCTACTATTCTTAAGGGACATGAATCTGAAGTTTTTATTTGTGCATGGAATCCAATCACTGATTTGCTTGCGTCTGGGTAATTTTATTATTCAAACACCTTATATTACATTATTACTGAACAATTTCAAATTGTATTTAATTATATATTCACGATGAATGCTAGGTACATACTACAAATTATTAAAATTTAGGTCCTAGGATCATCTTGCATTTTATATTTTTTAATTGGAAATAGAAAAAAATTTGAATTTATAGATCAGGAGATAGTACAGCTCGTATTTGGGATATGGCTGACAGTTTGAGTGATCCTTCTCAACTTATATTGAGACATTGTATTCAAAAAGGAGGAACTGAAGTACCCAGTAATAAAGATGTTACTTCCCTGGATTGGAATGTATATAACTTTTTTCCATGTTTTAAATAAGTATTTTATTTTGTTTCTAATAGTTATTATTTGTGTTAAGTGTGATGGGACATTATTAGCCACTGGTTCATATGATGGTTATGCTCGAATTTGGATGACAGATGGCAGATTATCAAGCACTCTTGGTCAACATAAGGGTCCAATATTTGCTTTAAAATGGAATAAAAAAGGAAATTATATACTCAGTGCTGGAGTTGATAAGGTAAATAATCTTATTTTTCTTTCAAAACTTTTGTTAATGACTTTTTGTTTGTTTATATTAGACTACTATTATTTGGGACGCTGCTTCGGGCCAGTGTAATCAGCAATTTGCATTCCATACAGCACCAGCACTGGATGTAGATTGGCAATCAAACAGTAGTTTTGCGTCATGTAGTACTGATCAATGTATACATGTTTGTCGTCTAGGTGTTGATCGACCAGTAAAAACATTCCAAGGGCATACAGTAAGTTATTACTCATAAGTTTTCATATTTGATTTACAATTTTTAATATGACTTAGAGTATCTTATATTTTTTGTATTTAAGTAGTAAGGCACCAACATTTTTGACCCTAAATAAATAACAAATACTGAGTTACTTTATAATAAAAATATATTTTAGAATGAAGTTAATGCTATTAAATGGGATCCTCAAGGAAACCTATTAGCATCTTGTTCTGATGACATGACTTTGAAGATATGGTCTATGAAACAAGATACTTGTGTACATGATTTACAAGCACATAATAAAGAAATATATACAATTAAATGGAGTCCAACCGGTCCAGGAACAGCCAATCCTAACATGAATCTAATACTTGCTAGGTAAAAACAATTATGAATTTATGTCATACCATGACATTTAATAATTACAGTTTTTTATTTAATTTAAATATTGCCAGCGCATCATTTGATTCAACTGTCCGTTTGTGGGATGTTGAGCAGGGTGCATTCATACATACTCTGACCAAGCATACCGAACCTGTCTACAGTGTAGCTTTCTCACCCGATGGAAAGTTTTTGGCATCCGGCAGTTTTGACAAATGTGTTCATATATGGTCAACACAAGTAAATATTTATTGAGAAATAATAAAATAATTATACTAAATAACATTCAACTTCCATTTTGTTTTTGAATAAAATAATAATTCTGTTAAATAAAAATATTTTAGAGCGGTCAATTAGTTCATAGTTATAAAGGAACAGGTGGTATTTTTGAAGTTTGCTGGAATTCTACAGGTAACAAAGTTGGAGCAAGTGCATCTGATGGAAGTGTGAGTATATTATTTATGATTTCATCAACAATTATAATTTTTAATAACTTACAATTACTGATTAATATAATTTTGAACTATCCTAGGATGTTAAACTCAATTATAATATATACTCCAAGTTAAACATATAAGTGTTCAGCATGCATTTTTTTCATTTTATTATTTTTTTTGTTGCAGGTATTTGTATTAGATCTACGAAAACTCTAATTCTTCTGACATAATTTATTTTTACTTCGAGTTTTCCAATTTTTTATTTTGATTTATATAACTATTCAATTATTGTGAAACCAATTTTTTATTGCCCATTTATTTTTGTCAAAATTATGATTTATATAAACAAATACATATAATTCATGACGATAACAACTGAAACTCAGCATGATGTATTAAGGTAATTAAAAAACAAAAATAAATTAAGCATAGACTAATAAATAACCCTCCCAAAAATATGTCAATGTGGAGTTGGGTAAATATTTGTTCACGGTATCAAATATACTTAACTTTATATACCTTAAAATAATTTTTTATTCTATTTTATCTATGATTAGGAATGACTCTATGGTAGTAATTAATAAATTATGTAAATATAATATTATTTTTCATTGTATTGGATATTATTATATTGTATGCCAAATGGCAACTTTCATTATAAATCTTTTGTTCACTTGTTGCTTTCAGAAAACTTTTTATGTGAAATTATTAGATCGTAATTGTTCACCCAATATCAATCAATATACATTTTAATTTTAAAACTGTGTATCTTATTATTAAAATATTGACTACTTAAAAGTAATTAAAAACTAAAGTGTATTTAATTAAATTGAGAGTATGTGCTGCACATCTATGATGTTTTGGTAAAATATAAACTGCATCTTCTGTGTCTTCAAATTCGTCATCAATATTAAAATGAGATATATCTTGGAAACCATTATTTTCATCTTCATTTCTCTCAGCACAATTATACAAATCAGCAATCTCATCAGGAATAATGGTGTTGTAAGGCATTGTGGCTGTGTTATTATCTGACTGTATATAATTCAAGTCGTTGATATCATCTTCTTTTACACCAAACACTCTAAAAGGTTTATAATAAATAAAATTGATTTTACTGTAAATTAGGTACCTATCAATTTTAAAAGTAAAAATTTTGATTCAAAACATAATAATTTAGGCTAGAAAGAATTAATTTAAACTAATGAAAGGTGAGAAAAATATTTTTTTAACTTCATATGTACAATTACAGGTATAAACTATAAAGAAAAACTAATGATGTCCACTCTTTTTCACACTGAAACTCAATAAACATTTATAAAATATTTACCCAAAACTTTTAATAAAATTGCTACCATTATCTGTTGTTGTATATAAAATTTTGTTATTTATATTAAATAAAGTATAGACAGATTCCATAGATCTGGCTAATATATCATAAGTGTGACTTCCTGTCAATCGCTTAATAGACAATAAGTACGATTTGCGTTCAAGACTTTCTTCTTCTATCCAATGAACAGTTATACCCAAATAAGATCTAAATAAATTAATGACATATTATTAAATATTAAATAATTAAATGATAAATCTACAAAATATACCTTTTGAATATCGACCATGCGTCAGCAGTAGTGGTTAAATGTTCAACTGAGTTAAGCTTACATTTCAATTTTTCAAATAGAATATTGAAACTCTTTTCAATATTTTTCATAAGAGTCAGTCGACACATAAGATTTCTACCAGGAAATCCTTTAGAAATAATATCTTTAAAATTATCATGTGATACTAAATTAAATGGTAGAGATGCATTTATTATTAAATCTTGTATTATTTGATCAAGAGAATCTGTGAAATAAAACAAGAAACAGTTATTAATAATAGTTATAACTATTATAAATAAATAATATAACACATTTTTTTAATTATTATTATTATTTTTATTATTAATCATTTATTAACAAACAAACAGTGAATAAATACAATAAAGGGATAACATTTGTTTGACACCTTCTTTAAGTAATTGCTTGTGTTGAAGGTGGTGACATTTTTAAGTACATTTTTAAACCTTATTCATTATTGAATAACTACTCTATTCAATTTATCAAATATAAACAGTTCTTTAACATTTATCTATTAAGTATATTGGTTTTCAAATATTTAATACAGCTCAAAATAGGTAGATGATTAATTATTAATAAACTTGATTAAAAAAACTAATTAAAAAAATGTTTACTTATTCTAGAACATTACCTTGAGAAACTATACTTATGTGATTATATTTTGAATGTACGAAGCTTTTCATAGATGTTTGTGCTGTATTAAATTTGATTTTTTTAACATTTGATCCGATGCTGGATGCTGGATTATCATGTTGATCAATACAGTTAATTTATTTTCTTACACAATTTACATCAACAGATACATTCATATTTGGCATCAGTAGTACTTTTATAGTCTTAACATGACTATGTTTAAGCTGTGAACATTTTTAATTATTAAAGGAATTTACAATTTAATACATTGATTTATATACCTGAGTGGCTAAGTATAGACTATATACTTAGGACTTATATAATTTAATAGAAGGCATGTGAACTAGGTTCTAAAATATTTATATTTTTTTTTAAAATAGTTAACAAAAAATATGCAGATCAATTTCAAGGAATAATATTGTTTAACTAGAATTATAAAATTATATTGTTTTCAATAAATCCATATTCATAAAAATATGTTTTTACTTAACATCAAACAAATATAATAAATGTTGAAAAAACTATTATTTTCTATTATAATCTAACCTAAACTAGGTTAATAAATATTTATAAGGACTTATAGATTTTTCAGCAGTGGTCTAAATCTGTGAGTGCCTATCAATTATCATTATTTATAAGTAAACAAAAAAAAAAAAATAATAATACTTGCCTTTAAGTGTTTACGGAGATTGGACATAGATCTTGAATCAGCAGTTAAAGTCTTTCTTGTCACAAGAAGTCTGGTGTTGGAGTACATTTAGTATACCTTGACTAGTAGAAGGAGAAAAGCTAACAGACAATTTTGAAAATTATTTCCAAGTATATTTTATAAACATGGAGTTTAATTAAACATTTCATACAGCCAAGGTGCGCAAGACATGAACGACAGAACATGATCTAATACTCTTATAACAAATCTGGAAAGTAATGTAGGTTAGATTAGGTTAGGTATGTGTACCTATACCAGGGTTGATTTATATAATGTATTTGTTTATAGGTATTATGTTTATATTATGCTATGTTTATAGAATGAAGAATATTTAATTTGAATTGGCAATAATAAGAACTATATTGCTTATAACAAGCCCAAAATATGTACCTACTTAATTTTAAATGTACCTATACACTGTGCTTAGAAACTAGAAAGTCTTGGATACCTTTTTGGTGGGTGACAGAAAGTTTTGAAATAAACATAAAAAAGAAAATATACATTTCATGTATTAGTTCAAGTAGGTATACGATATAGTATTTTCCTTGTAAATTTATTGCATATTTATTACTTTGTTAATTGGTATGAATGGCGAATGCAGTTTAGTTCCCATGTGATGGTTGCATTATTTTATTATTACCCGGCAGGAATAAGAATGTAATAGTGTCGTGTCACTTAAAGTTACCTCAAAGATAGAGATCATAAATGAAACAACAACAAAAATAATCATTGTATGTATTGTGTTTTGACAAAATTAAAAAAGTTTCATTATAGATAAAACCATAAACAGTTTGGGAACTATTTACAACACCACAATATAATACAATCAAGCTACCATTACCTTCTGCAATGCATAATATTTTCGGTCAAATTTAATTTAATTTCTAAAAAAAATGACAAAAGTAAACTTAAAAAATCGAAAAAAATTTTGTTCACTTGTTAGCAGTAATTGATTTTCAATGTAACTAATATAATATATTCCATAAGCACATTAGGTTAGGTACATTATACGTATTTTAATAATATATATTCTAAAATCGAAATTTGCAACAAAAGAACAAGGTAAAAATGTCTAAATTAAGTTTTTTTGACTTTATATTAGAAAAAAGTCACTCTTTGTTTCACAAAAAAAATTATGTACAGATTAAAATACACTTTAAGTATACTTTTATTATTTTATATTCCTCATGAATGCATTGTGAGAAGTAAGATATTGAATACTTGTATACAAAAAATTTTTCATACATTATTATATTATGTATTAAATGAGAGTACATTTTATAGTAAAAATAGGTAAATTATGATACTATTATGATACTGATCACGTACATTTTTTAAACATAGTAAGTACTGAGTGTAATTATTAAAATTAAAACTATTTGACCCCTTCATGGATCAGATAAATTAAAAATATATTATGTAACTAATGGATTAACAAAATTAGTATTCAATTCCAATAGCCTGATCATCGCTTAAATAATAGTGGACATCTTACCCACACAGCACGTTAATATTTTTTAATTGTTTATTCAATATTTAACATTAAATGTTAAATATTATTTATTAGTTGATGATTAATTGAAAACTCATTATTATATACTGATTCAACGTTGTAGGTACATTAGTTGAACCAAAATTAAATTTGAAAAAATAATTTGAAATAATATGTTGAACCAAGATTACTTACAAACATTTATTAATTATTGAATTTCTCTTAATTTCAATGTTGTTATTAGATTTATATCATTATATTGAATATTTACCTAAAGTTGCCGGGTCATTAGTTGAACCAAAAATTAATGTTAAATAATGATTATGTGGATTTATAAATTGAATAAACATTATTTATTATATTGACTGTTTAGTATATATTTATTTTTATTTCAGGTACATATAATCAATGTTATTATTATACCATATTAAATAAAATTATACAAATATAAAACACTTATTATAGGTATACAGAACAAATATAAAATACTTATATTAGCTAATGATGTATCCTTATTCTTTAAATTATAATTAAAAATTATGAATACAAATTATAAAACTATATTGAAAACAAACTGAATATTTGTCAGTAAAGATGTACCTAGTATAGTATAAAAATGCTCAAGTTATATTATTATTATTATGAAGCAAGATACTTTTTTTGTAGAATACTATACTAAATGATAGTCTTTTAGATAAGTAATAAAATGATAAATAATATAATCAAACAGATTGTGCAGTCGTTTTTTTGTCCATTTTTCTTTTAATGTCGAACGGAGCTTGAGCTAATACACGCTTGATTGTTTCTTCAATTTAATTTTTAGGGATATTTGAGAATTTCATTTGTTTTTTTATAGCATCTATATACGATAAAAATGAATTTAAATCTATGTATTATAAAAATATTAATATAATATGGCTTAATATTTCACTTTTAGAATTGTATTTTAAGTTTTTTAAAAAAGGTCTCTTTCCATATCATATATCTAATATATATTACTATACATATAATATAGTTTATACTACATTATCATTTTAGTTCTGTCGTTATAATTTAATATTTTTATTAGATGTGTATAAAAGTTTATTGAAGATCAACAATTACAACAAATAACATAATTAATCCATACCTGCATAATATATAATATGTTGTCTCTGTCTTAAAAGAGTATAGAATAGCAAATTGCATGTACCTGTATTGTATATACATTCACAAAAATGCTTT